TCCCTATATCAAATGCTTACACTGGGATTGTAAGTAACTGTTTTGTGGATATTGACTGCTATTTACAGTTCTTTACTATAGAGAGATGCATGTTTGCTGAAGTCACACACCTCTTTTTCTGAGTAGTTACCAAAAAAAAAAAAGTTGGTACGGATGTCTCCAATTCTTTGGCACATATCTCCATAGCTTTTTCAACTGATGCATCTTTATGATTTAATTTTACGACGACAGTGAAGTTGAATTGACTTAGTGTGCAGACGCTTGCCTTCAAATCCCAGGGCCTGGGTTGAAAAGCACTCCTACCCCAGAGTTCTCAAAACAGCTCTATTCACTATAGCATCATGACTCATAAGAAACTTGGTTTACAAAGCACCATTCCATTCTTTAATTGGTGAGTTACTTGGTGTTAGATGTAACAATTTTTATTGGTATCTTTGTGCGTTGCAAACATAAATTTACTAAAATATAAGGAGCTTCTGGTTTTTTTAATTTTGTTTTTAGATAACTAGCTGAGATAACTATGGTTTCTCGCTGTGGAGGAACTGAGCTGTATCAACCACTTGATAGTAGAAACATAGTACTATATAATACATTTGTACCTCATTTTTTATGCTACTGTTCGCTCCAGCTTGTATTAATGCATTCACAGAATCTTGATGAACGTGGAATGAGTGGTCACCTCGAAGTAAAAAATGAAGAGGAGTATTGCCACCAAGCTAGACACAATGGAAAATAAAGAATGTGAAAGAACAGTTCATACATCATTGAGTTACGACCATATTTATAATTGTCCAAAAGAAATAACTTCCAGTGGTTCTGTAAATTACCAGATATTAAACAAAGATGTTGATTGGTTCCATATCCAGATATACTATCACCAACAAACAGCAATCAGTTTCACATAAATTTACATTAGAGTCATAAAGTTAGTTGGAAGTTCTAAAACAAATTTATTGGATTCAGTGACGGGATCTCATGAGAGAGACTAACCACAAATCCCTATAGAGATTTTTGGTTGGTAAAGCTTTGGTAACAAAGCTTTATTTTGGCCAAATGAATGACATGTTAATATTACTGATACTAATAAAGACTACTTTTCTAATTAATGAAAAAAATGACAATTAATCTTTGTATACCATACCTCATCTTTCAAATTCACCCGCGTATTTGATATTTCTAATGCACGACGAAGGGCCATTTCACGTCCTTTATCAGCTAAGTATTGAAGAATACTTCGATTCCCAACCTCCACAGATAAAGACAAACAAGAAATAAATATATATATCACTGTACAAAGGTCCTCATTTTCAAGAGTAGAAAATTCAAGACGATTTAAAACGTGTATGTAAGCGAAAGCGACCTTCAGAATAAGCAGACTTTTTGCAATGTGATACTCTGGGTAAATCAAACACTGCCCAGTAGCAATGCCTCCACCCCACCCCCATAAATTTGTCAAAATCCTTCTTTTAAATAGAGGGAAAAAAATAATTCATTAAAATTAAGTCTGAGAGTGCCATTTCCTGCCATCTAGAGGTGCTATAATTATATGTTCCTGATCCACCAATGAAAAACATTATAACTTCATATTACATCTTCAGAAATCGATAAATAAAACCCCAAATAATAACAAAATGTCTGAGCTCAACCCTAGCCATTTTGGTCCACCCTCTACAAATTCGCACCAACCCGATAAAAATCCTGATACATGAGTAAAAGCACATTCTCAAGCAATGTAAGTCAAATATGCAGTAACTATATATATATATTATTATTATGCAACCAATATTCAAAATTTATCAAATATTTGTCCTGTTTACTTCATGTTGAAATTTCAGACCCAATTCCTTTGTGTATATAGCCTGTGTTCATGTTTAGTCAAGGCCCACAAGTGTATTTCAAGTATCCATTCCAGTACTGTGCTTTTGACCTGTTGTTCGCTGAGATTGTAATCCAGGTATGTACTGTTGTTATTGCCTGCCATATTAAGACAAAACTTTTCATATGAAGCAAGATTGGATTTTAAGAAAATATATTCCTAAAAATTTGACTTTAAAGCCAAATAATGAATTTAAGATGAATTTAAGCAAAGTTTGATAAATCTGTTAATTGTAGGCCTGTAAGAAAATTTAGCAACTAATTACCATGAAAAATACATAGTTATTGTCATTGAGTGAATACTTAAGCAAATCACAGCCAGAAAAAATTGGGTTTTTTTTGTTTCAAGACGTTCGTTGCCAGGGACACAAGTCCACATCCGACAGGGGTTCACTCAAGGTGCCAATGATGCAAGTTCACATTCACACCTGTCCAACATACAACTATTAACTGCACATAAGCTTGTCTATTAAAATAACTGTGTTTGTTTGGTGGCACCCTTTATGCTTTGGCATATTATGGGATGGAACAAGAAAAAAGGCTTGGCAGTCAATATGTTAATCTGTATCCTATTTTACTATCATTCGTTTTTTCTGAGCTATCTTTCGTTTTCAAATATTTTATTCTTTGCATGTTGATACACAATGCATTTTGTCGTACCTTTAGAAGGGTCCGATACATTTTTTTAACTAAATATGCTTGCCACATCCCCTTAAACCCTAAATCCGGATACTCACTGCGTGCGACGGCAACGCAACGAAGAACGCACGCAAAGACGCGGACCCAACGGATCGTCTTTTTAATGAGGATCCATTCAGATTGCCACTGACAATCAGCAGACGGTGTTGCGTCGTCTATCGCTCGCCGGAAGCAAATGTGGATTTGTCGTGCGACAGTCGTACGACCATCGAACGCCACAGTGAGTGTCCGGCTTTACATGCCCCAGTCCCATGGCTTATATGCTGCTAGCTACTGATTCCACTTACCTTCTCATTCTGGGCATCAACAGTTTCTACAGTTGCAT